CAGAGAGACAGAAAGTGAGAAATCACCCCCCAGGGGGGATGGTCACGCCACAATCCCTTCTCCATTCTCCTCTTGGGATCTTGGGCACGCACGCACAAGCACCCGGCGTGAGTTTAAGCCACCGGGTCCGGGACTCAAACCACGGTCGACTACGTGGGAATGCAGCGACATAGCCATTACGCTAACTGCTGGTCCCGGGCTGTCTAGTTCTTGACCAGCGATGCTGACTGCCTCCTTAGGCAGAGGGAGCGAGAGTGCGTTCAGGGCTAGGGGAGGCATTCTTTCGGAGATCCTTCTCCTGCCAAGAGCTGTGCATGCCTCTGTCTCTGTGCCTCTGAGGAGGCATCTGAGACCTGGTTTCTAACCTGGGTGCCAGCAGCTTGCTCTCCCAAGCCCCCTAGCTCAGCTTCCTTGTCTATAGAGGAAGGATTGGGGGCCAGCAGGTGGCTTAGTGGTTAGGGTGCTGGACTATCCCCGTGGTAGACGGCGCTTAGAGTCCTGGCCCTAGATGTTTGAAAATCATGCCAGGCATGTGTGTGTACCCACAGTCCCAAAAGAAGAATGGAGAAGGGATAATGCCGAGACCTGCTAGGCAAAATGGGGTGAGGAGACCCCCCAGAGGGGGAGCAGCAGTGGACTTGGCAAAGAACAATTACACAGACACAGAGACACGCGAGTGAGGAAAAGCAGGGGTCAGGTAGACAGGACGTCTCCGATGGAGAACACACCTGAGCCGTCCCCAGGGTTATTCTTTTATAGGGTGAGGGGGTGGGAGACGCGGAAGGTAAAGCCAGGTGTCTTCTATCGGCTGCAGCTGTGGAGCGTCTTGCAGCCCTTGACCTGAATAAGCCCCACCTGGCCTTCCCTGGCGGAAACATGGTTTCCTTTCACCTCCGCCGGCTCAGCCTCAGCCCAGGCAAGCCTCTGCTCCGCAGGTCTTTAAGGGTCACCACGTCCAGCCCCGATTCAGCGGCTCCCACAGGATTGTGGCGTGGCCATCCTCCTGCAGGCTGCTTTCTCACTTCCCCTTTTTCTGTCTCTCAAGCACACACGCACTGTGGGAAAAAAAGTTTTAAAAATTTATTAATATATTAAAAAACATAAAAACGAAGGATCAGACTAGGGGACCTGTGGAAGGCCCCAGGTCTCCCTGCTGCTCCCCCAGCAGTGTGGAGCCCCCTGGTGGCCACGGCTCGATCCAGTAGAAGACCAGGCCAGCACCACAAGCCCTGGGGTAGGCAGGGCAGTGGCAGCAAGCTGGCCCTGGCCAGAGCTCCGGAAGTGGGGCCGTTGATGGTGCCAAGCAGAGGGGACCCACGGAGGTGCAAGGAGGCAGTTGTCTCTGCTTCCTGGCTCGCCGAGCTCTGGGATGGGGTCTAGGGCTGCCAGAGCCAAAGGAGGTCCCCAGCACCCGGGGCCTCCAGTACACAAGGCCTAGGAGCCCTCCTTAGAGGCCACTCTCCTCTCCCCGCCAGATCCAAGCTCATCCTCAAAGAGCCCGGCCTGGAGGACCTGGGCACCTACTCGGTGGTGGTCACCGATGCTGACGAGGACATCTCGGCGAGCCATACACTGACCGAGGAGGGTAATGCCCACACCCCATTGTCACCTCCCCACACAGTCAGACCCACACCCATAGTCCCAAACACGAGCACCCACAAGGCCAGAAGAGGCAAGGAAAATGAGAAAAATGGCAACTTCCGTGGCGAAATCCACTCATTCTTTCAGTCAGTCAATAAATGTCCACTGAGCACCCTCAGTGCCAAGTACTGCCCAAGGCCTGGGGGACCATGTGCTGAGCTCAACAGGCAGAAGTCCCTGCCAGGGGACCCACGGTCTTCTAGCCTCTTCCCCCCTACACTCTTGTTAAAGGCAAAGGTACCACAATTCTTTTGCCTCCTTAATAGCCCAAGGAAAAGCGCAGTGCAAATGTGATGATAAATCGCAAACAGCAGTTGCTCTGAGGAATGAGAAGGACAATAGGGAGTGGTAAGGACTGTGGCTCACCAGAGTGTGGATGCCTTGTCTAAAAGGTTCCTCGATGTTTGAGGAATTAGATGAAGTGAAGCCAGCGCCGGTGACCATTCTGGGTTCTCCCCTCTCCATGGCAACTAGGAGAGCCTGGCTCGTCCTGTCCACTGCGCGTCAGGCCCTCAGGCCTCGTTGAGAAGCAGCAACACCCGTGCTTCCACTACAGTTTCATAGTTGGCTGGCTGTCCAGTTGTGGAAAGTCATGTCCCCTCTCAGGCTGCAGGTTCCTCGTTTCCAAATCCGGAATTATAACCCAATTGCAACAACGTTTTTTTATGTGGGTACAATTAGACGATTCTGTACAAACTAAAACCATTACGAAAGTGAGGGGGTTCTGTGACTTTTTTGACTGGGTGGCATCTTTGTGACGGGGTTGACAAGGGACCAGGAAGCAGGGCTCCCCATGTTGACTCCCCCATACGGCATGTGCAGGCCCAGAGCTCAGCTCTGCAGAAGAGACTAGCACAAGGAAGCCGAGGGGACAGGGCAGCTCTCTGCAGAGCGGCCTGGGGACTTGCAGGCTGCGGGCTCGGCGTGTAAGCCCTCAGGCACCTGTGTGTCACAGTGGGCTGGCCGTCGGGGCCTGGATGTGGGCAGAGATGACAACCCACAGCACCACGTGAAGACTCATGAGCATGCGGAGCCTGGCACGGAGTCAGTGCTCCTCTGGGGCCTTGATCCAGGCTCCCAAGGGCAGGGAGAATATGCAGTCTTGGGGTGGCCAGCCGTAGCCCCAGGATTTCCCTTGGTGCCCCAGGGCCGAGGCCCCCAGAGCTCCTCATCGACCCCTGTAGAGCAAAGTGACTGGAAGTTGGAGTGGGGGCGAGGGTGTCTCGGGCTCCTTGCCCAGTGCGGGGCCCGGGGATGGTTCCGACGGGCCCCACTGCCTGCATATTTCATTCTGTCTGTCTTTGCCCGGCTCCTCCCTTTCCCCAGAGCTGGACAAGCTGAAGAAGTTGAGTCATGAGATCAGAAACCCAGGTAAGCCGTTCAAGCCGCCAGTCTCCCGCAGCTCCCAGGGGACCCGCTGGCATGTCCCGAGCAGAGACGAGTCAGGCCCAGAGCCAGAAAGGATCCCAGGAACCAGGGCATGGGGAAGGCATGGGGCCGGAGGGTCTGAGACCCAGGGAGTCCGTGACAGGAAAAGGGTAGCTGGCAGGGAGTGCAAGGGGTGCGGGAAGGAGAAGGGGCAGTGTCTCCTGTTACCTCTGGCTGTTAGTCGTTCGGGTTTAGGACTGGCCAAAACTCTGCTCCTCCCCACTGGCTAGAGGGGCGCGTGCTGTTCCGGGACAGGGGTCACAGACTTGGCCATGTGTTAGAATCACCAGGGAGCTTTTCGAAACGCAGATGTCCAGGCCACCCCCGAGACAAATCATGGTCTCTGAGGTCAGAGCCCAGGCGTGAGTGTCTGAGAGTCCGGGGGATCCGATGTCCAGCCGGGCTGAGTACCGCCGAGAACCACGGCCCCAAAGCCCTTGGCACGGACACGCCTCTGCAGAGATTGGGTCAATCTAGAGTGAGCGGAGGGAAAACTCTGCTCAGTCCTGCCCCCAGGCACGTCTTCAGGCATCAGAGTGTCAGCCGTGTGCTCAGGGCACGCTCGGAGGGGAGCAGGGCGCCTCCCACACCCTGCCCTCCTGTACCTCCCAGTGATCAAACTCATCTCTGGCTGGAACGTCGACATCCTTGAGCAAGGAGAGGTGCGGCTTTGGCTGGAAGTAGAAAAGTTATCTCCGGCCGCCGAGCTGCATCTGATCTTCAACGAGAAGGAGATCTTCAGCTCGCCGGTAAGCGGGTGCTCAGAGTCGCTAAGCGAGGCTCCCCTGCCCAGGAGGCGGCCTCACCGGTGGCTGTTCTCCAGAGGCCAGCTCCTGCCCCGAGTGTGCATTTCAGAACTGGCCACTAGCTTTGCCTATCCCAGTGATGGGGTGGGGGTGGGACACCTGACTCTCAGAACATGGTTGCAGTGGTGGTGGGGACACCAAGTGGGGCCGACAGGAAGGATGGTCTCATAATTTCCCATGCCCCTTTTCAACTCTCAAATGTCCTGCCAAACATTCTTCTTTTTTAAAAAAATTATTATTTTATTTTATTTATTATTATTATTATTATTTGGCTATAGGGCACATGTGGCCCCAGAGAGAGACAGAGAGAGAGAGAGAAGGAGAAAGAAAGAGAGAAAGCAAGCTGCCAGGTCCAGGACTTGAACTGCAGCTGGCCATGTGGGAGTCCAGTACCTCAACCATCACACCACCTGCTGGCCCCACTGCCAAACATTTTTAAGACGAAAAACCTACATTCGTGCTGATAATAGTATTGGTGTTTCAGTGGTAGAATTCTCACCTGCCATGCTGGTAATAGGCCCTGGAGCCAACTCTGTTTTAGGTATAAATACTAAGTATTTTCGTGCAATTCTATTGTTCGCTGAACAGCGAATTTTTATTCTCACTTTACCTATGTTCATCCATTTATTTTCCCGTCCTTGTACAGAATAGTGGCTCGGCGTTTTGTTTTCCTTCTCTTAAATTCAAACCAATTCATTATAAATCCGTGCAGACTGAGCGAGGCTGTCTCCAAGTTGAGAGACATTATTTTATTTTAAGTGACTTTTATTTCCTCTTCATATTCTAGTTTGAGTATTGCATTGATTTTCTTTTCAATCATATATGCAGATGGGTTGTATTAAAGTGAACCATATCCACCGACGCTCAACTGTTTTTACTGACAGACACGCAACTGTCATCTCGTGAGATTCAAACTTACGATTCAGTCTCGCAGTATTTGTACCTTTCATCTCCAGACGGCAAATCGGCCGTCAGAAAATGTGTGTTACAGAGGGGTCTCTGGTGCTCAAGGAAGAGAATGAGTTCTAGGTAGGGGCTGGGGACTCCTGCGCCCTATGGGTGACGTGACCTGGGGTGGCTCTCGTCACCTGCCTGTGCCTCTGTTTCTGCCTCTACAAGGGGCCTGCTTGTCCCAGAATCAAGGGGGAAAATACATTTGAAAGTTCTGCATGAAGATTTTGCAGAGATCTTGCCCCGTGGCATAGGAAGTGCCGGTGGCAGTTGGAACACTCGGTCGCCCCATAGAGAAACAAAGTAAAACTAGCTCACTCCCTCCTGGCCCACACGGGTAAAGCCAGAGGGAAGAGGGCCCTGACTCTGCTGCAACATGGTAAATGCAGAGTGCTCACTCTGGGCAGCGAGTATGCGGGTTTTCAGACTTTTTTAATATGCCTCTATAGTTTTTTTCCTATTAAATTAAAAAAAAAAGTAGAAAATAACCCAAACGCGGCACAGTACCAGTAGAGGATTTCTTATGAAGTTGCAATTAATTCAAGCATCCAGGGAGTTCGGGGCCAGGGCAGGGGAGCCCCAACCTCTACAAGCAGCAGAGGGTTACCCAGGCCCCCCAGTCTCTGAAGGCTGAAAACTCTGCACATGTCACCCCCAAGTTCAATCACATCTAAAGCATGTCCCCAACAAAGTTCCCAGAGAGGGAAAGTACAAAAAGACTCAGGGGGTCTGTTCTCCCCAGAATCGCAAAATCACTTTTGACCGAGAGAAGGGCCTGGTGGAGGTGATCATCCAGACCTTGTCTGAGGAGGACAAAGGATCGTACACCGCCCAGCTCCAAGACGGAAAAGCCAAAAACCAGATCACCTTGGCACTGGTGGACGAAGGTCAGCGAGCCCCACCCCTGCCCCATGGCCTACCCGTGGGCTCTCAGCTCTCCACTGTGGATGCTGAGCACACCCTTTCCACCCTGCCCTTCGCGATGTCCCCTCGCTAGCCCTGCACCCCCCTCGGCTCACCCAGCCCCTCCCTACTTGTTCAGATTTTTTTATTTTTGGAGAGGTTTTTACTATAGGGCTCGTGCTCTCGCTCGCCAGACAGAGAGAGAGACAGACAGAAAGCGAGAAATCGCCCCCCAGGGGGGATGGTCACGCCGCAATCCCTTCTCCTCCATTCTCCTCTCGGGATCTTGGGCACGCACACACACGCGCCCGGCGTGAATTTTTAAGCCATTGGGTCCAGAATGCGAACCGCGGTCGACTACGTGGGAGTCCAGCAACATAGCCATTAGGCTAACTGCTGGTTCCCACCTATTTGTTCAGATTTTGACAAGCTGCTGAGGAAGGCAGACGCTAAGAGAAGAGACTGGAAGAGGAAGCAGGGTAAGAGTGCTGGTGCCGTGCAAAGCCTTGGCCGCTGGTGGGTTCACAGGACCCCGCAGGAGGCCCGCTGCATTCAGTCCAGTCTGTCCTGGTGCCAACCGCCATGAGCACCTCCTGAAACTCTGCACCCTGGGTGCCTCCCTAGCTGCCCCCGTCCCTCTGGGGAAGGCTGCCCATCTCAGGGATGAGTTCAGCGGGCTTCCCCGTCTGGCCACCAGGTGGCACCCTGGCTGAGCCTGGCACTGTGTTCCCAGGTCCATACTTCAAGGAGCCTTTGCAGTGGAAGGTCACGGAGGACTGCCAAGTGCTGCTGATGTGCCAGGCAAGTCCCCCACCCTACCCAGTGGCTGTCCCTGCCCACCCTGCAGGTTCCATTCCCACCTGGGAGTGGCCCCAGGGAGACAGCATGCCACCCGGAGAGCAGAGCCACCGACCAGCACATCCGGGGCGGGGCAGTCTTGTCCTGCATCTCAGCCATTCCGGGGCAGGGGGTTCCTGGGGCACACACAGGGTCCGGAGCTCGAGGGCGTGTATTAGCCCTGCAGATCCTGTGCTCAGTACATGGGAGTACCGTTTTTACCTCACCTGCTCACAACCTCCTGTGACACGGCATAATCTTCCTGTGTGTGGATGAGAAAACATGTGGGGAGACAGCTCAGACCACGCAGCAGGGAGTAGAGCCCAGTGTTGGTGTTTCGTTTGTCTTGAGATCTTTGCCCCAGGGCATGTGCACTTGCAAGAGAGAGACAGAGAGAGTGCTGCCCCCAGGGGTGGCCATACTGCAATCCCTTCTCCATTCTCCTCTCACTCTGAGGCATGCACGCATATGCCCAGTGTGTTTTTCAAGCTGCAGGGCCCTGGACTCAAACTGCACAGTCAGCCATGTGGGAGCCCATGCCTTAACTACCGTGCCACCAGCTGGCCCAGAGCCCCGGATTTAACAGCGTCTATAAGGCTCCAGAGCCTGAGCTTTCTCAGTGTGCTCAGCCCCATTAGGTAACTGGGGAAGTGGGGGTAGGGGGTTTCCCCAGAAGCACAGTCATTACATAAACTCAGACGCCCACTATGTGCCAGACACTCTGCCAGGCACCAGGAAGCAGGGATGGGGGAAATGGTCTCCTTAGGCCTCTGAGAGCTCTCAGTCCAAGGCAGGAACTAGGAAACAACACATGTCCTGCTTGATCCAGAAGTGTGAAGGAAATGGATTAATCCTGATAGAGAGGCACTCTGGGGTGCTTCAAGGAAGGCTTCCTGGAGAAGGTGACATCTACCTGAGTCTTTAAGAAACATAGGCATTTACAAGGAAAAACAGCACAGGGAAGTGATCAGGAAGCAGACGAAGCCAGCAAAAGAGACGTATGGTGTGGGGAAGGGGTCTGATACTCGGCCTGAAAGCACACGTGTGTGTGTGTGTGTGTGTGCATGTGCGTGTGTGTGTGTGTATGTGTGTGTGCGTTTACTTAACAATAGAGAAAACCCAACAGAGTCTCGTTCCCCGCCTTTTGCAGGTGACCAACACCAAGAAGGAGACGCGCTTCCAGTGGTTCTTCCAGAGACGAGAGATACCCGATTTCCAGTACGACCCTCAGACCGGAGCGGGGCTTCTCTGCTTTGAAGAGGTAAGCCGAGGCCTCGCAGCAGCTGGCAGCTCCAAGCCAGGCAGTGCCCGAGGCTGCACCTGGGCTCGAGGGCAGCTGAGACCAGGCGGAGCAAGTGAGCCACTCACCGCAGGCACAGAACTGAAGGGGCACGAAGTAAACAAAAATAAGAGTTTGCATAATGTGCAGTACGAGGGATCTTCCAAAATATTCTTGGAAATGTATATTACATAAAAAGTGGGCATAGATCTTTTAAAATTGCATAAAAATAAACTCATTTCGGGGACCAGCAGGTGGTGTGGTGGTTAAGGCACTGGACATTCCCATATGACCAACCATGATTCAAGTCCTGGACCTGGTGGCTTGCTTTCTCACTTTCTGTCTCTCTCTCTCTGTGTCTCTCTGGTCAAAATAAAATAAGTAAATGAATAAATAAAATTAAAAATGATTTTTAAAAAATAAATAAAATAAACTCATTTCTTTAGTTCCATTTTTCCATGGATGTTCCAAGTTCCCTCATGCTTTTTACTTTAAAAAAAAATTGTCTAGGTTTTTCCCAGAAGGCATTTGTACTCACTAGAGAGAGACAGAGAGAAACCGAGAGAGGGAAAGTGAAAAAGCACCTCTCTCGGGGAGAAAAGGGGGATGGCCACACCGCAATCCCTTCTCCTCCATTCCCCTCCTGGGATTTGAGCACATATGCACACCCACCTGATTTTTAAGCTGCTGGGTCCAGGACTCAAACCGCAGAGTTGGCCATGTGGGATCCAGCGCCTTAACCACCAGGTCACTTGCTGGCCGTGAACCGTCTATTTCTGCTCTAACTCCCTGCACCCCACCCCTTCCTCAAGCCCAGGCGAGCCCTGAACTAGGACTCGAAGGGCTCTGGGGCTGGCAGAGCCTTAGAGACCAGCCGGCCCAGATGAGAAAACTGAGGCCCAGAGAGCAGCAGGGCGTTGCCCGAGGTCCCAGAGCTCAGGGCAGGCCTAGAGTCCAGGCTCTGATGTGCTGATCAGTCCTTCCGGAACCTGTGCTACACCGCCGTCTCTCCTCCCTCCCCCAGTTTTCCAAAGGGGACACTGGGACTTACAGAGCGGTGGTTGCGGATGACCGAGGGGAGGACAGCAGCATACTGGACCTCACGGATGAAGGTAGGAGCTGGAGACAGGGGCGACCAGGAGGGCTGTGGGCTCGCACGGGAATGAGACCGCCACACGACCTGAGGAGTGAGACTTATGGGATCCCCTTGTCACTTGGGGACATTGAAGCACAGAGAGGTTAAGTGACTCACCCAAAGGCGCACAGCTAGTCGGTGGCAGCGGCCTGGTCTGTGTGACTCTGACAGCCGCAGAACACACAACGCAGGCTTGGAGACCTGAGCCTGAGTCACTCCCCTGCCCCAGGAGGGCCTGGCTTCTCCTCAGGCTGGCTGCCTTGGCCTGCAGGAAAACTGTCAGGATGGCCCACTGCCCTCTGTCCGCTGTGCCCCCTCTGCCCCACCCTGGGCTGAAAACCCAAGCCACGAGAGTCTCCCGCTGGGCTCCGTGTACCCAGAGCTGCTCACGAGTCCCACCAGCCTTTTCCAGGACGCCTCCAGCCCATCCCTGGGGAGCCCTGCACCAGCTGACGTTTGTCCCTGTCTCCTTCTAGCCCTGGATGCCATCTTCACGGAGCTGGGCAGGATCGGTGGTAAGCCAGCTCTCTGCCAGCCCCGCCTCGATGCCAGCGATCTCCACTGGAATTCTCGCCCGCCTTGGCTAGTGGGGTGGGTTTGGTTTTCCACCTCACGGCCTGGGAGAGAAGCTCCTGCCTCCTCGCAGGACTGTGGCCTCCTGCCCACCGGGAGGGGCGGGAAGGCTGGCCCCAAACTGTGCTGCCACAGGTTCTTGGGGAAGCCTCACCCTTCTCTTCTGTCTCCCAGCCCTCTCTGCAACCCCTCTGAAAGTCCAGGGGACAGAGGAGGGGATCCGGATCTTCAGCAAGGTCAAGTATTACAACGTGGAGTACATGAAGACCACCTGGTTCCACAAGTAGGTCGGCCTCTCCCTGGAGCCCCAGCCAGGCTGCAGGAGCCAGCGCCTTCCCCTAGGGCCTTCCCTCCTCCCATGCCCATTGTCCCAGCAGAACCCAGCCCCAGGGGTTAGCAGATCCCAGGGTCTTCCACCATTCCTACTGTCTAGAGAGGACACTGGGGATGGGGAGCCAAGAGGGCTTTCCTGAGCTTCCCCAAGGAAGATGGTACCCATGTTGGCAAGATGATCTTTATGGAATATCCATGGCCACAGCAGAATCACAGTTTCAGAGCAGCATCTGGAAGCTGGGGAGATAGGGATGCAGGAGCAGGAAGAACCAGGCAGCCAGGTGGGCACGGTGCTCTTGTGGGCCTCTGTTACGTTGGCAAACTCGGGCAGCCAGGCTTAGGCAACAGGTGCTGGCAGAGGGCCCTGTAGGGTGATGACTAGCTGAGGGACAGAGCTTGAAGGCAAGATAAGCAAGGCACCCACAGAGACTCAGCCAGGAGCTTCGTCACCCTAGATAGCTGGAGAGTAGGCTTTTCCCAATGTGTCTTATCACGTGCGCTCCTCAGCCTTCTGGGGCAGACATGCCTGCACCCATTCTATGGTGAAATTTGTCAAGTAAGTGAGGGCCACGGCCACATGGCTGTGGGGTTCCGAAAGGTTAAGGAAGGGTGTCTGTAGGAAGAAGCCCTGAGAAGGTTTACGGTAAGAACAACGAGGTGAGGGCATGGCCCCAAGGGTGGAGGAAGTGGCGGTGGCTGACCTTGAAGAGTAGGCCCATCACAAATGCAGAGTCAGCTCTGGGCTTGTGGCTGGTGTGCTGCGAGATTTGATGAATGAACGAGTGGTTGGCTAAGGAATGGAGGGCCAGTGGGTATTTACCGAGTGCCTGGTGAAGGGCCGCCCCTCACCCCCCACAGCCCCTGGATCTAGAAACCAAACCCCAGGAGAGTCTGGGGCATGGGAGGCTGCACGGCCACACGGCCAGCTGCACCGTGCCTCTGCCCTCACACAGAGACAGACGCCTGGAGAGCGGCGACCGGGTGAGGGCCGGCACCACGCTGGATGAGATCTGGCTCCACATCCTGGACCCCAAGGACTCAGACAAGGGCAAGTACACCCTGGAAATAGCAGCCGGGAAGGAAGTCCGGCAGCTCTCAACGGATCTCTCGGGGCAAGGTGAGCTGTCGTCCACCTGTCTGTGCAAAGCCCTGTTTGAAGAGATCTCGTGGTTGGGGCCAGCAGGTGGTGTAATGGTTAAGGCTCTGGATTCCCATGTGGTTCACCACGGTTCAAGTCCCAGAAATGGTGGCTTAAAACTCATGCCAGGCACGTGTGTGTGCGTGCCCAAAATACCAAGAGGAGAATGGGAAAGTCATGGTCAGGGCTAGCAGGCAGTGTGGTGGTTACGGCACTGGAGTCCCACGTGGCAGACCATGGTTCAAGTCTTGGACCTGGTGGCTTGCTTACTCTCTCTCTCTCTCTCTCTCTC